TATCAAACATAAAATTATGTAATTTCTTTAGTTAAACACTAACTTTGATATTTAGCGTTTTCAAATTTATTCTTTGTTCATTGTTATACCATATTTATCATCATCTACTTATAAAGTTTATTGTAATAATTATCCTCTCAAATTCACACTAGTACATACTTTTAGAATAATTTTTATTTGTAACTTCAATTAATTAATAGTGTAATTTTTGAATAAGCTATCAAGGCTTAGTGAAACTTACTTCAAACATTTTATAGAAATCACTAAAAGAAGGATGTGTAACGTATATTATTTAAAATTCAAAACAAAGTAGACTCATTGAGAAACTTTGTGACCAATGAATATAATGTATAAATACATATTATGATTATTTACTAAAGAAAGAAATCTTAGTCTCGATCATAATTTTTTAAAGGGTTCATCAGAAACACAAAATTTGTAATATTGTTGTGAATTAGATTGTCGGGATCAAGAATAATCTCTATTTAGTTAGGATCCCAGATATTCATTTTCGGACAAATGCCGAATAGTTTTAGAAGTTCAATATTGTAAAATACTCGTAGTAAAAGATTAATCTATGTAAGGAATAAGTAATTAAAAGAGATATGCAAATATTTAGATACATATTCATTTTTAATAAATGTATATTCATTTTTTATATATTCATATATAATTATATACATGTATATATATATATAATGTCGGGATGTCGGGATCGGGATTATCGGGATTGTCGGGAGTCGGGATTTTTTCCCCAGCCCTAATCTGAAGCAACCAGAAGCTAAGGGGTTTCTTCTTCTAAAGGAAATTCTTTTTTTATCATCAAAACAGGCCTCTATTCATATCAAAAGATTCAGGATCACTACATCAAGCAAAGGGAAAATAAGACTGACACCAACTAAAACTCCAAAAACTATGACTGTAACCCTATGGTGAGTGACGTACACTTTGTCACGGTGCGTCAAAATAATATCAATACTAGCACTAATACGTAGTATAAAGAAGTAGAGTTCGTATCCACAGGGAAAGGAATAATTCTCTTTTTATGAACTAGTGAAAAAAGGGGGGTTTTGGTATTGTTGGAATTTAATTAATTAAACACGAAGATGAACGACTTATATGTGATTTAATTCAAAGATAAAAGGGACTTGGCATTGCTACTTTCCACTTGTTGATATATTTTAGTCGATCGTTGTTATATCTATAACTCGTTCCCTCTCGAATACTCAATCGAGGAGTATATCCAATTCATCGAGGGTAGCTATTAACAACGACCGTTCATTAATAACCCTTACTATTAGTCAAGTATAGAACACCGTCATATACCGACTTGATAGTAGCATTTAATCTCTTAACTCCTTGATGAAATCAATTGAGATTGATAACCTCAACACAACGGTTTCGGTTTAACCAACAACATTAATCCCTCTTAAGTTTATTAACCACGACCGTGCATTAATAAACCGAAGTTACTTACTTGTGAAACCATCAACGATTAACCATCGGTTCGTTGATAGTTTCTAGTAATAATTAATATATGAAACAAAACTAATTGATCCTTTAAGTAATGTTCAAAATATTAATATGAAATATGAATAGGAATTAATTAATACTCAAGGAAGAATATTAAAGGAGATGAATCCTACTATAGTTAATATCAAGATGTTAACTAATTGTCATCTTAGTAACACTCCCCAATATTAACATAGAGGAAGGAATAGTTATTACTAAGACCAATGTCAAGATGTTAACTAATTTTCATCTTAGTAACACTCCCCAACATTGATATAGAAATAGTATTTAAAGGAAGAATTAATATTCAAGGAAAGAAGTTAAGAAAATAACTCACAACTTTAATAATCAACAAGCTTCAAGAGCAACACCAAGAAATGGAAGTTTAGCTCCTCATTTGGAGACTAAACATACTAGATAAATATAAAGAAATGCTATTCTAAATTGAGCTTAAGAGTATATAGGAATTGGTGTCTTCATTGTGAAGGAAAAGGGGTGTATTTATAGGTGTTTGGAGGTGGCAGGGTTGTGTACCCGATCGGGTATATAGGGTATCCAATCGGGTATTTTAGGCAGTTTCCCGGAAAATCACTTTTCTAGACATACCCGGTCGGGTATATAGGCATACCCGGTCCAATCTTAAATCATTCTGACTTATGCCAAAAATATGGAATTCATAATAAATTTGGCATTTTTTCTCCAAATGATTGGAGGTGGTGGTGCTGGGGCGGCAGAGGCGGCAGTGACAAAAAAATTTGAATTTTTTATTTATTTTTAAGAAAAAAATTCAAAAAATAATAATTTATTATTATGTAAGATATTTTTATAAATTTTTTGGTATATTTACGAATTTTTATTATTTTTTATTATTTTATTATGAATTAAAACATTCCAATAGGTATAAGGGTATATTTGTCCAAGACACACATAATTAGTCCTATGCATGGAAACATAGTTTATTTTTTGGTCCTATTTGTGCAAAGTGGGTGACTTTTAGTCCTATTTTGATAATTAACCCTATATTTTATCCATCTTTATGATTGTATCATTTCAAACAAATAATTGCTCATATTGTACAGTTAACCGCTAATACTACACACAATTGTTTTTTTCGCAAAAAATAACTTATTTCATATTAAAAACGAGAACCAGATACAAGTTCGCCATATAAAAGGCTACACTGGGATGAGACTCAGAGCTAGAGTCGCACTAAACAATGGCCCAACTCACTAATCCCGCAATATGGTAGACTCTATTAATAGCAATGTTGCACCTTCTACTAGAAGGAAGAGCAAAAATAACTAAAGAGTCTTGAGAAAACAAAGAAAAATAAGAACAATATCCAGTTTTTCCAGCCACTGGTAAGGAGAGAGCGGTTTGACCAGCCTCCGCCAAAGGTTCCTCCTGAACATCACAAAAATCCCGCAAAATCTGAGACCTCCCCTTCATCCCTTTTGTCACTTGGTCTGTTGTTGCTAGGAATCGGCCACTTGTTACCCAGGTGCACACCACCCCTTCTCATATCAGCACGTAACCATGACCCATACGGCTTCTCTCCAATCCAATGCCCACTGTGTAGATTAGAAGGGCATAAACGATCTGAATGGCCAAGGAACCCACAGAGGAAGCAAAATTTTGGGAGTCTCATAACATAAATCTGCCCATATCCAGTTATCCCTCTCCTCTCGTACTTTCAAGCGCTTATTAGTCAAAGCCATAGTGATATTAATAGTGACTCTAATACGCAACACCAATCTTCGTTTTCCTCCAAGAGAACTTTCATCCAGTTGCACAAAAGATCCTTGTTTTCAATTGTAATCATAACTCCAGATTGTTTTTGCGACAGATTTGAATTTTTTACTCATTTCTTCTTAATTTTAAATTTAATTTTGATTTTGCTCTTATATTACTCTTTTATCGCACTGATTTTGAATTATGCCTATTTTGCATTGATTTTAAATTTGGGAGATGTATAGGTACTCATATCAACCTTTGATTAGAGATAATTTCATTTTATCAAGATGATAGTATTGCCCAGCGAAATTGTATATCTACTTATTTCCAAGCAAAAAGCATAGTTTCAACCTTGATTTAGAAGTGATGCCATTTCATCAAGAAAGTAGTATTGCACTTTAGTGTCGTTTTCTTGAGAGTTGTTTTTACAAATATTCAAATAATGCCATTTTTATGACACTAAGTTCATTCAAATGGCAATATTACTCCTAACGATGGCAATATTGGTCTTCTTAAAAATGACATCATCACTGGTTCTAAACATGACATTACTACATCTATAGTCAATATGTAGGACTAATAAAAGTTTATGGCAATTTTACATCAAACATATTCTAAATGTATAATTCCGTCTCTTTCCAGTACTTGTATGTATTTGAAAGACCCATTTCCAAGCAATTGAACAGTGGAGCTTCAATTTGAAAAGGAATCTCCATATAAAAGTCGCACATCCTTGGCAGCTAGAGTAACTACGAGCAAGGGATATGCCGGCACCAGCGGCATTTGTACTATACACTATGCACAAGCTAGTACTAGCCTCTCTATGATGCAGAATATCTTTGTTGTGGCCTCCTGTAGATGATTATATATGGACAATAGTGTTAAGACATGGTCTGAGTTCCATCTTAAAAGGTCAACCCGATAGGAGGAGTAGCCCAAAGCCTTATATATAGTGTTTAATTGTTTTATAGTTTTCCGGTGTGGGACAAATGCTTTAACACGCCCCCTCAGCCTGAACCGGGCTTGACAATATCGGGGTGTATAAACGGGCCAAACAAACCCTTAACAAGCTATCCTTAATCATGGGTGCTAAGCAAGCCGTCAAACCACAACCGGAATTAGCTCTGATACCATGTTAAGACATGGTTTGAGTTCCATCCTAAAAGGTCAACCCTGATAGGAGAGGTAGCCCAAAGTCTTATATAATGTTTAATTGTTGTATAGCTTTCCTGTGTGGGACAAATGCTTTAACAAATAGGATGCAGATGTTTAAATTGTGGCAACAATTGAGTATTGTGGAAGACGAAGTGGCACCAGTTGAGTACTTACCGGAGGTCGGCAGCGGCGGCAGATGAGGCGGTTGGCGGAGGCAAATGTGGGGTCGGCAGTAGCAGGTTAGGCGGCGGTTGGTCGGTGGCGCTGAAATTGCGCTAGTCCGCCTGGTCCACCCAGTCATTACTGTTGCACCGTAAATTCAACTGCTACTGAAATTTGTTTTATTATTTTGCTTTACAATACTACATAGGGAGTATTATAGATATTAATAAAGATGAGGGCGCCGGATACGGAGTTTTCATTAAGGGCGGATTTGTCCACCCAGCTCTTTTTACTCCTATTAAACTTAGTGGTCCTAATGTTGCATTTTCAACTTGTTTTAGTCCTAGTTAGAGAATTATCTCTATTAATTCAATTCATGTGGAAAGTGATATTACTAATTTAGAAGAAAAAAATGAGATTGATAATGTGGTCATAAATAAATGAATAAATAAATTGCAATTTATTACCGATCATCTCTATTATTCGAATTGAATAAAATGAATCACATTATTGATCACATGCATGCGTGAATATATACAGCTCGCTTGCTAAATTTATTCGCTTACAATTTATACGTATGTTTTCACGTTATGTTGAATCATAATTAAATAGCTTCCTCAGATATTAATCAATAATCATGGCGGCGGCGGCCAGGTATAAGATACATGCTCATGCCAAGTATCGCCAAACCCACAGCCACATTCAATATTTCCCGTCGATGAGTCCTTATCAGCTCTTTTGCCACTTCATAATAACCGGCTGTCATAGTTGCCGCCGCCGCCTCTGTAATTCCGCCTGTATGGCTTTCTTCTTCTTTACCCATACTTTTGCTTTTCGTGCTTCCGTCTTCAAGGCCGCCGCCGCCGCCATCACGTTCCTCCTCGGTGCTCTGTGGAAAGTCAATGGCTGGATTAGTCAATGACACTCAAGTTTGATACGAAAATGAATCTTTAAAATATTTGTCTCACACCGGAATACTATAAAACAATAAACACTATATAAGGCTTTGGGTTACTCCTTGTAGAACTTTTAGGATGGAACCCCGGGCCTTAACATGATATCAGAGCCAATTCCGTTGTAGTTTGACCGCTTGTTTAGCATCCATGATTACGGATGGCTTCTTAAGGGTTTGTTTGGCTCATTTATACATCCCGATATTGTTCAGTCCGGTTCGGGCTGAGGGAGCGTGTTATAGTATTTGTCCCACACCGAAAGTTACCCTAAGTCTCAACAGAATCACATTATTTAGTTAATGACACTCAAGTTTGACGAATGATATTTTTAATACGAAACTATTTTGAAAAATCCCCGTATAAGTTGAAAATCTAGCAACGCGACCGTAACTATTAGTTACCTGTCTGGTGTCGGGTTGTGGCGGATCTGATACAATTGTAGCCGGTGGTGGTATTTCATGTTGTAGAGTTGCAGGAGTCTTCAGTGGTGGCTGAATGATACGGAGAACGCCGTTCACAAACATTGCTTTAACTTCGTCTTTGTCATAATTTTCCGATAGAAGATTGGGTAGAGTTTTTACAAAGGGTTCCGTTTCCCCTTTTGGCGTCCATTCGATTTTCATCGAATTCTCACCAATTATTGTACTTAACTTTATCTGTTCCTTCACAGTTCCTTCACATACATATATAGTCTCCGTATTGGATCAAAATTGTCAATTATATTATACTCATACAAATTGCTCAATATACAATATATAATCAAAATATACCCAAAGTATTAAAAAAAACTAAATATGTTTTATTCTACAAATAGGATTCATTTAATCTTATTAAAGAATAAATTGTGTAAGATTTCCCAAATTATGAATGAGTTTAATAAATTGTGTAAAATTTCCCACAATAGGAGTGAATAATTAAGTCATATATTTGAGAATAAGAAAATGATAATCATATGCATGAACTTTATTACTCCGTATTATTTCAATCCTATTTAAATTTTTTCTTAGAGCATCTCCAATGCTAAAACGTGAACGGTGCATACGTGGCATGAGAGATAGCTAATTAAAAAATAATAAATAGAATATTTATCTCCTTATTTGAAGGATCTTGTATCATTTTGGTAAGTTTTTCTTCACAATGTCAAGCACAATGTCTAGATGTAGACATTGTGCTTGACATTGCAGAGGAAAACTTACCAAAAATTCATAAAATCGTGGAAAGAATAAGAGAGAAATGTCATAAATAAAATCTTTTGTATCTATCTCTCTCATGCCACATGTGCACCGTGCACATTGTAGCATTGAAGATGCTCTTATATTACGGTGCTACCTTATTTAGTTGCCACAACTTCGCATCTCCACTATTTACGGCCCTTCTTTCCTTTAATATGATCACATTCTATTTATAAACGTAACGCATTAAAAAGTATACTACGTATAATTGAATTGTTGTTGTTTTTTTGACAGAATAATTGAATTGTTGTTAATCAAATACTACATATTTTGCAGTATAAAATTTTAAAATGTGTTTTTCACTGCAGATTAAAAATGTTAGTGGTCAAAATTGCATATTTATTTAGTGAATATAAAAATCAATGAATCAATTAAGAATGGAGGAATTGTTACTTAGGATGACTCTTACCAAACATTCGAAGTCATTTTTCCACATGCTAAAACTGTAAAACCTAGTACTGTCTCATATTCCCTTGTCCCGGTTAAATCTTGACGTTTGACACAATATTTTAGGAATCCAATTAATAGAAGAACAAATGTCTTTCATACGCTTTGATCTAGCTATGGGATTAATTAATGTTATCCAATCAAATGAAAAAAATGGATGGGTGGTGAAGTGAGTTAAGAACGACATTATTATTTTCGGAAAATATGACTATGGAATTGAAGGAGAAGATGATAGATAGTACCTCGTGGTAGAGGAAACTGAATAATGTGCTGGCCATTTTCCTCTACTGATGTATGCCTTGCTACACATTCTTCAAACTGTGTCTTTGCATCCAACAATTTCTGCTCGTTTGAACCCATGCCTTAATTTGATCTTTCCTTTAAGTTCTTAGTTTTATTTGACTAGCTAGATTAAAGTTCTCCTTTGAATAGAACTAGAATTTGTTTTGGGAATGAAATAAATGTTACCAGCGACTTTAGGTTCTTATACACATGGAATTATGGAAAAGAATAAAATAGGCACTCTTGTATGTACACACATTCTCCAATTGATCAAACAATGCATTTTAATTAGCTTTTCTTGGGAAATAGACATTCCTTAATTTTATTTTGTGCACGCCTTTATTCTTAGACGACGAAGAAATTATTTCCTGTTGAATATATTTAACCCCCGGCCAAGGTTTGATAATTTGACCAAATCTCAGCTGATGAAGGCAAAATAAAAGCTTAGCTTCATCCTTTAATATCCCAACTTATTGACTTATGGTGTACGCAGCAGCAAAGAACCATAAATTTAAATGATTTGAAGCAATCACCAGGGGTTTCCTCTTCTGAAGGAACTTCTTATTCGATCTTATATATGTTTTCTGAACAATAATTCTAGGGAAAACTGTCAAATAGGTCCTCGAACTTTCATAAAAAGGTCAATTAAGTCCTTCTATAAGAGGTTCTGTCCGGCCGTCGTGATTTGGGGCAGTTACCGGTGAAATTTTTTGATGAAATTTTTTGATCATCTTATTCACCAAGTCTAGTTTACTCATACCAAATTTCAGCTAAAACTTCAATCGGGAACACATTCAAATTAATTCTTGAAGATAACTGCGCATTTTTGCGTTCTCGAATTAATTTGAATGCGCTCCCGATTAATTTTTTAGCTGAAATTCGGTATGAATAAACTAGACTTGATGAATAAGATGCTCAAAAAATTTCATAAAAAAATTCCACCAGGAACCGCCCCAAATCGCGACGACCGGACAGAGTCTCCGATAGAAGGACTTAATTGACTTTTTTATGAAAGTTCGAGGACCTATTTGACAGTTTTCCCATAATTCTACTCAAGCAAAAGGGATCAATTAAGAACTCCTTGCATTTTGCTTCATACATGTTACTGACTTACACTTAACGCAAATTAAGAGGCCGTTTGTCAACAAAGTTTTTCGGCTTATCAGCCAATTTTTTCACCAAACACGTAACTTTTGCTTTCGGGCACTGAATTGTATAATTAGCAGAAAAAGTATGGTTGAAGTTACTTTTTTCCATGTATTGGTTGAAGTTACCGTAGATGATCATTTTAACTACTTTACATGTAATTTTTTCTTTACTTTATTAACAAAATATATTTTAAAATAATTTTTTCTTAAATCACCAGAATCAGTCAATGCATGCTGCCACTTCAGCTAGAATTTCATAAATTTTAGCAGAATCAATCAAATCAGCCGACTTTTGTGCTACCAAACGGGCTCTAAAGTTTAATATCATAAAAGCAAGCGTCTCTTCCTAAATGATTTATATTTTTACTTTGTTAGTTCACACGGCTTTTATCTTAAAAACATAATAATGATGAAAAGTATGTTATCTAATATTCTTTTCCGGCTAATGTTCGAACCTCTGTTCTAAAAATCGTTCTAGATGCCCGACTAGTCCCCGCTTAGGCGCTAGGCGGTGGTCGGGCGCCCCGATTTTCGTCTAGGTGCTCCGACTAATTGATTTGTCGTCTAGGTTAATTAGTCGACCGCCTATGGCGCCTAGTTGCCCGCCTAGAGTGCCTAATCGGCTGCCTAGACCGTCTAGATTCGTCGAACATTACTTCACTTTTTAATTTTAATTTTCTAAGGTATTTTTTTTTTTTGAGATTAAAAAACATTACAGAAAAGGAAAGACACAACAATACAAAGAAGAAAGAAATAAAATAAAACTAAGCCCAGGGGAATTGTTTGGATTAATTTTCTAAGCTATATACGTACTTTAACTTTAGCCATGAATATAAAGAAATGAAGTTGTAAATTAAGATAAAATTATATATGTTTGTATATATACCTAAATTTTATCATTATTTATATTTATAACATAATGAAGTTAAGTGATTAGTTATCATATATTACGTGTGATTAAATGCGATAATTTATCATTCATGTATGTTAATGTATATATGTATTTTATACACATAAAAATACAATATTATTTATCATATTTATGCAAACATATAGATAAAAATCCAATTTCTATTTCTCCGACTAGTCCCCGACTAGGCGCCCGCCTAGCCGCCTAGGCGCTAGGCACTGGGCTGGCACCCGACTAGCGCCTAGCGCCTTTTAGAACATTGGTCTGAACCTCTATCTCATTAATACCCTCCTCGCCATTTACATAATACAATTCTTGAGCTCCATTAATGGAGGTTGAACTACTCTAGAAAGATAAGTGAAGTTTGGGGGAGGAGAAGCAGTTCCTTTCTCAAGAAGAGAGGTCATCTCCTATTTATAGGGGGTGGGGATATAAACTAACGGGCCGGTTAGGCCTAAATGGGCCTCGCCAACTGGGCTCCATACCGAAGTGATGCCTTGGGCCCCTGAACCGTAGTAGTCCGGGATAATATACTTCAACACCGTCCTTCAAAACTTTGCAAAATCTGACTGACACGAGAAATATTTAGTAAAAACTATGTTGTTGAGATTAGAGGGAAAAAAACTAATGAAAATCACAAATTCATTGATTAATTAGAAAAGTTGTAACTTTTTTGAGACATCTCTAACAAGGAAAGATGACAAATGTATGAAGGGACAAAAGATGTATAAGCATTGATTATTTGATTTGTGAGGATCTTCCAAAAATGTTATTAAAATAAAACTTATAGAAAAAATATGACTAAAGTTTCTATGAGCAGGGGTGAAGGTAGAGGGGGCCAACTGGGCCCCGGCCACCCTTAGTATTGCATGTCCCTCCGGCTTCCACCTACCCCTTGGATGAGTCGTCTCACTGACAAAATCATACAGAACTTTTCCCTGAAGATAAACCTCAATATCCAAACCCAAAGAGCTTCCCCTGATCACTTCTGTGAGATGTGCATTCTCTACAACCTCCCACAGGTCAGCCTCCTTGTGTTTAATGAAAGGATCAAGGTTGAATCTAACGCTTCCTGAGAACAGAACAGAAGTTTAGCACTCCTAACTTTGAAACATCACAATCATCAATAAATTTGAAAAGTTAAGCACTGTGATGTTTCAAATTTGAAACATCACAGTCATCAATAACTTTGAAATACCAAGAACCTTACAGAACTTCAGCACTCCTAACTTTGAAACATCAATCATCAATAAAGATTGATGTTGAAACTTCATGTGTTTTGTTCTGAAACATCTAGGTTTGGAGATGTTCTGAAAGTTTGGATATGTTTTGAAACATATCCTAACTGTTCTAAAACAGTTAGGAGATTCACTCTCTCCTAACATTGAAACATCACAGTCATGAAAGGATCAAGGTTGAAACATAATAGTACATCTCTAACAAGTACCATCCCAATACTCTCTGTATTATGCATATGGCCATTATTATTCAATCCTTGAATCTTTGGGTAAGCACCTGCTTGAGAATTGTTACCATCCGGTAGCAACTCAGAGTAATACTACGTATTTAGAAAGCTTTTTACATCTCATGTCCCCAAAATTTACAATTCCAGCCGCAAGTTGCTTGCTTGTTTCCTTTGAATAGTGAGCAACTAGGCTGCCATTCACTCCCCGCCTAGGTAAGATTGCAGAAGGTGTGAGTTGATGTGGATTGACACGATCACAATTCGACACAGAAACTAGATTTCCAATATAAGCCATCCACCTAGGACAGACCCTAAGAGGTTGAACGCCCATGTTTCCAGATGCATAGCAGTCCATGAACTTCACATGATGTGCATTAGAATGAAATTTCAAGTAATAAAACCAAAAAATGGTTCATGTCGATCACTCTGTTGCATGATCAATTGGCGCAACTCCGCTAGATTGTTCCTCCATTCTTTGCGAAAGTTCCGCAATTCTTTGCAATCGTTCCTTATCTCCTCACGGTTTCGTTCCAAATCGCGCTTCCAGATCTCCCGTCTACCCTCCATCGTTCCTCACATAGCAACCAGTGACAGGCGACAGGAATGACACTCTGATACCAATGATAGGTTTAGGCCAGATTAGATTAAGTTTCAGAGGTATTACAGAAGACTACAATGGAGAAATGAGCAATTGGGGAAGATGAATTAACAATAAAGAAAGAGAAAGTCTACAAACTAAAGAGAATGCTAGCTCCCAAGTCTCAAAGCCCAAGATAATACCCGCCTCTCTCACTGAAGACAACTCCAGCCTTATATAGTATTCCTTCCCACTCTGTATTACAAATCAGACAGCCATTTAATAATCCCCTTCCCTCTTCTAATGTAAACTTTATCAAAGTAGGTTTTTTTTTACCCCGGGGGCGTCAGGGGTGAGGGGGAGGGGGGTTTGGGGTAAACTGGGATCAATCTCACTCCATTGAGTCATTGAGAATTGAACCCGGGACCTCCCATAAGGGAGAGTGAGTCGACAACCAGATGGGTTGGACGGCTTCCTCTCAAAGTAGGTAATACTATTATTAGTATTAGTCTGCTGTCTTCCTTGATCCCAAACATCCAGTCAATTCATGTCCTATTTCGGCCAACTCTAGTCCAAAACCGAAAACTCGAGCTACCGAAACCAGATCCATCCCTAATGAGAAAAGTATTACTACCTCCATCCTGAAAAGTAAAAAATGAGAAGAAGAAAACTAGCGATTCAATGAATTCAGAAAAACGAATGAACTGGACAAAATCTCGCATCCATTAATTGGATAAGAATGTTTAAAAAGAAAATTAGAGGGTGTATGGGAAACTTAAAAATGAAAACCACAGTAGAGTGTGCACATATAGACATTGTCCAAAAGTTTACAGTTTACGGCAGCTGAGATTTAGCTCTCCATCTCTCTGACTCTCCCAGTAGCAAACTAAGTACTCTCTTTGCTTTCTGGATGTTGAGGTCCGATGCATTGCCGAAACCGAGGATATAAAGAAGAATCTAAAACTGCACAAATTGTATCTTTCTAGTATCGTGATCTTACACAACTACATTATTTTGCCTGTTGAAGGTTGTACCTATAAAACTCTTTTCAGCCCCCATTAGATATGGTGGCTTCAGAGATGCATCTGTACTCTGTAGTGCAAGCTGAGTTGTTCATTGTGCTTTTCTTCTCTCAAGCAGGTGATACTGACATGTTCTCTTTCACTAGAAAAAGAAGTATGTTTTCCTCGACTTTAATTAATGGCCACTTCCAGAAACATTATGTTTCTTGGGTGACTTAGGTATCTCCATGCCCTCCTCAGCCCTATTAGGAGACGTACCAATTTTATTCAATTCTGTATATATTGACTCTGGCTGTTTCTCTGTATCATTTTCATCTTTTGTATCATTTTCATCTTTTGTATCATTTTCATCTTTTGTATCATTTTCATCTTTTGCAATTGATTTATCGCGCTTAACATTAGCATCAGAAGCTGCAATGTCATCATCTGTCTTAGGTGAGTCAGCCAGCATACTAGCACAGCTCTCAGCATTGTTAGTTGTTGAGTTTTCTTCCTCTACACTTGGTTTTACTTCTTCTAAAGGCCCAAGCTTTACTTCAAGATCCTTAATTGCAAATGTTAAAGCTCTGGCATCCCTAGCAGCTGCTAACTTCCCACGAGGTGCTTCCTGTTCCAAACGGGACAAAGAATAGATATTAGTAAATTTTGCTTGCTTCCATGCACTATTTAGATAGAAGTCCTGCATTCATCATGCATGTGTATATATAGACTACTCACTCTAGTCTGGTTCCTGTTAGAACGTTTCTTAACGTGAGAAATACGAACGGCCCGAAAGGATACATTATGGTTCAAGGTGGTACACATTTATGATTAAGATAATGCATAGTTCAAATGTGCATAACAAGTGGAATTTATTTACAAAAATGTCGCCACATTTTCTTATTCACGTTAGTGCATTTTTGTTTCACATAATGCACAACTTCCAAATCTGGCGCTCTAAATTCATTCTCATTTGATTCAAATTTTAAATAATATACTACGTATATAGAGGTTGGTTATAACAAAAAGAGGTATTAACATATGAATCTTTAGCACATACTTTTACATGTATTCGTTGCACTTTATGTGCAGTGTAATGCACTTTTTGACGTTTCGCCAAAAATAATATATTTACAAAGGTGTCACCACCGCGTTTTGGTTAAACACGCGGTGGCACTTTTGTAGATAGGTGATTTTTTTGCAAAACGTCAAAAAATGCATTACACTACACATAAAGTGCAACAAATATAGGTAAAAGTGGGTGTGAAGGATTTCACACGTTAAGTCCTCATTTTAGGTGAGAAATGAGAATGAATCTCAGTCATTAGATTTGACTATGTTACAGTAAAAGAAGTTCATATTTCACTAAAATATACAACTATGCGCAGTGGCATTTTTGTATATATTTTTGACAAATCCGTGTTACATCTTTGTCTTTTGAGTTGTTCAGCCGGATAGGTCTCTAGTGCAACATAACAATGTTTTAGTGTGCCGTGGTCAAATCCAAGTGCAACATGAAACTGTTTTAGTGCAACATTGTAAAGAGCTACCTAAAGTTACAATTCTAGTATCTTGCAATCAAAGAACTACCTAAAGACTAAAGTCAATACGAAAAAGCCAGAGTGAAAGTGCAAGTGCATATATATTCTTAATTTAATTTCCATAAATTAACACCTAAATTTGAAACCCATGTACAAGATCCATTTTAATAGAATTGCTTATTAATAGATTCTCTATATAGACAAGTACAAGCTTGGAGCCATTCAATTACATGGCTTAGAGCAGATGATAAATAGGATTGTATTTGGAAAAGGGAGATGTACTCACATTGGAGCAAAACATGTCATTCTTCCTCAAATAGGACTACATATAAAATTGGGATAAAGTGTTAGATTACCAAAACTACCCTTTAATTGTACAACTGCTACTGCTGGATAGCTACCACCACCGGTCATCCGCCAACAGCCGCCGCTGCTGTGCTGATGGAAAGTTTCCGGCCTCCGCCGGGCAGCCACCACTAAACCCTAATAGGAATTGGTAAACCATAGAAATGCTAACCCTAAAGAGGGATTGGTAAACCCCAAACAGTAATGCTACACCTTAAGGGTATTTTAGGATAAAAAATTTACCAATAAAGCCTGGGTAGTCTCATTTTTGGAAAACTGCAAAGTTTTAGTAGTACGAAGAGCAACATTCTCTTTAGTAAACAAGTTTGTGTTTCTTGAGATAGAAAATGAAAAGGAATGAGGAGTATATGATACACAAAACTAACCTCCATCAACACTTCTGTCCTTTTCTTCAATGCTTCTAGAGATGCTTCCTTGTGAACAAGTTTCAAGATACAAACTAAGTGAGACTGGAGATTCTCGGACCGGTGGTCCGCAATATAGCACTGTGGAACTGTAGATAAACAACCTACGGGATAAAAAGGGCAGTTCACAAGCTTCATTGAACATACAGTGATACAATGTCTGTCCATATCACGCCTCATTATGCTATCTGGACATTTCTGCTCACATGGAAGCATTTTGAAAGGACAGGCGGTGTCATGCTGTTCCACATGACCAGCAACAAATATAGCATTACATCCCTCATTCTCACAATTCACAACCCGGAAACTGCAAGAGGGGAGATGATGTTCAAGTTCTTCTTCAGACCTAAACTTCATACTGCAATGATAGGTATTCTTGACATCAACATTTCTCAGCAAAGTTAGTGCAACTGATTCCCTCCGCCCAATCAACCAAAACCCATTCAGTTCCATCTCCTGCACAAAATCATCTATCCTATCTTCTCTCCTGTCACTCAGAATCCATCCTGACACACGGCTGAAAAAATTTCTTTTTGAATGTGCAAAATCATCAATAAAATTGGAGATAATATCAAAAGCATCAGTGGGTGCTTCTATAATAGGGTCACCTTCAAAGACAACCGATTCCGCCACAAAAGACTCACTTCTTTGGACAAGATAGTCCACCATTTCTCTTCTAACATCAAGAGCCACTGATGCAGGACTCTTGAATATGCCACCTGTCGTGTTGTCAACACACGCAGATGCCAAACCTGTGAGGAACTCTTGTGCTATCTTGTGAACCATTTCAGCATCAAAAAGGTTGCAGTGAAACATTGGACCTTCTTCCTCTTTAACTTCTTCAAGTGTTTCTGGTTTCGTTTCAGCATCACTTGCAGGGGGGTCCATGCTGATGGGCAGGTCCATGTTGGCAGGAGGGTTCATGGTTGAAGATTCTTGCATCATGTTTAATATCTGAATCTGAATAAATCAGTCTAAAAATAAATGGCGTCACTTATACCGGGAGAGAATGAAAGAAAATGCTCAAGCAAACATAATTAGTATATACAGATATATCAATGCATTATCTTCAAGAACAAGTCAGACGGCTGTTTGCATGGGGGTGTTAGAAAGAAGACATTTTTACAAGAATCCAACAGAAATCTACCACAGCAATAAGTATAATAATCTTTAATTTCAAAATTGAAAGATCTTACTCATTATATTGCTTAATCGTGAATAAATCTGCCACATCAGGGGGTGCTTGGAAAATGGCGTTACAGCCAAAAAATAGTTGTTTGACTCCTTTTAGCGTTTTCAATAAGTGAAAACGTTGTTTGGTAAATAGTTGTTTGGCCATAACGTTTTCGGATGGAAACGCTGCAAATAGCAGCGTTTTGGGTTAGCATTTTGAAAAAGAGCATTTCCTAAAAATTGATACGGCCAAACTGCTAAATTACCAAACATCTTTTTGCAATCCACCAACTTATTGCATTGGTCAAACTCGCTGACAGGATCCACTATTTATAATCCGCTAACATAATCGGTTATCTGTTAACCGCTAAATGCTAAACACGCCCGATTCTAGCTGTTTTCCCTTGCTTGACTCATGAACTCTAGCTATTTTCCCTTGCTTGACTCATTACTCATTAATTGTAGCTATTTTGGATTATAGAATCACGATTGTAAGGGAGAACCAAAAACAGTAGCGTAAAGCATATATATTAGAGGTTGTAGGAGGTGATAAACAATTAACGAAGGGGAAAGGGCATGGCATTCACATATTGAGGTTTTTCACAAACAACAAACCAAGCTTTAAATCTCAACTTATGGTAGGCTACATGAACCAATAGAAAAATCTCACAAGGTCATTTACCAATGGATTAAGCCTTAAAAGGTTATGACAATTGACAAAGGATCACAAACTTGGAGAAGCACAACAAACCAACTACACTGGGAACACAAAGCAGTATATTGCTTTCAACCTACAAAGAAGTTACAAAATGATGAAAGGATTCTTAAACCTGAACAAAATAGACCAGTATTTCATTTCCTTCATTCACAAACATCTTTAATGGCAAATTAGATGATACGAAAAATGAATAAAATGCAATTATTTAATTGATTAATTAAGCAATAAGAAAAAAAAATAAAAAAACGGAAGAAAGAAGACATCGATTGACTTGATGAAGAGGATTAAAGGAAAGTCGCAAGAGAGAAGAGTATTGAAATTCTTATTTTTATAAACTAAAAAATTCTGGGTAAAAATATTAATAAATACTAGTATTAATTTGATTCAGGCTAACCTAAGATAGACATAAATTGAATCGCCAACACAATTAGGGATGGAAATGCAATTCACAAGTAGAACATCTACCTGATTGATGATCACAATTTCATGCCCTGGAATCGGAATGTTGTACTCTGGAAGAGGTGCAGATGAAATGAAACATATATTGTACGAACTCCAAATGCAGATGGAAACCAGATAAGATGGATTGATGGAAAACTGTGTGAGAAGAGAATGGATCTTCTTATTATTTCAATAAACTGAAAAGCAGGGATGGGGCCAAAAAATGAATCAGTCATATAAAAAAATATTTTTAATTTTAACGGTTTTGAAATTGAATTGGCAAAAAGTCACCGCTCCTAGACTCCCGCAATTCCCCCCAAACAGCGAAAAAGGCAAACACCCAAATTTATGTACGTGTCTTGCCTACTTCTTGCTTTGGTGCATAAATCTTAAAACGCTTATAAAGTTATATGTAGAGTCACCGGAATCGCCGCCTCTCTTAATACCCGAATCAAAACACTAGAAATCAAGAAAGATATAAGGAGCAGAGAGATGAAAAATTTACCCTGTGATTGAGACTGAAAGGCAAAAAGCTTTGCTGCTTGTGCAATTGTCTAAACAATACATTGGCAAATTGGCTAAAACTGCTCAGGCAGTCAGGCTTGTATTAAAAAAGTTAGAGTCTCTTGTGATCTCTATTTTTCTCTTATTAAAGTTAGCATTATTTTCAATAATTGAAAATTACTATTCTATCTAAATTTCCTCATTTACAGGTTACCATCTTCCCCTCTATATGTCCTTTTTGCAGAATGAATTTGGACTCTGGAGATCACATTTGCTATCAATGTGAATATGCGGCTTCTATTTGGCATTATTTTATGGGTGTCTTGCAGATTCCTATTCCTAATTACAGAGGTTCGATTAGGCAAATTATTTCCTCATGGTGGCTAGAAGCGGGATCTAAATCTTTTCTGGATATAATCAAACATAATATAACTGGAATCATTGCCTGGCATATTTGGAAGCTACACGCTAATATCATTTGGGGTAATCTGGAATCTGTCCCAACGCCGAGGCACACTATTCATCTTATTAAGCTATAGACCCAAAATTGGTCTCATAGCTTAACCAAGCTGAATGTATATCCGGACGGTGGTGTTCTTAAAGACGAAGGTATTACACCAAAATCTTTTGATCTTCATGGAAGACTTATGCGATTTATCAAATGGAGAAGACCTAAGACTGGTCTTAAACTAAATACTGCAGCTTCTTTCTTACCGGATTTTGCTTGTGGTGGCGCCATTCTGAGGAATCACGACGGCCAGTTCATAGCAGCAAAGAGCTTCGTTATTTCAGCGGAATCGGCTCTTGAAGCAGAGATAAGATCTTTGGCTGCGGCGGTTCAATGGGCAATCGAGGAAGGTCACTCGGATTTTGAGGTTGAAACTGATTCAAATTGTTTTGGATCTCTGTGCTTCAGCGAGAAGGAGGCGGTAGATGGGGGAATCTTGTGGAGCAGATGATCCGCCAAAACTTTGCACCCCATTTTTTTGGCAAATACGCACATGTACTAATGAAAAAGAATCAAATAAACCCTTTAGAAGGCTCTGTCAGGACATCGTCATTTGGGGTGGTTCCCGGTGGATTTTTTTGATGAAATTTTTTTAACATCTTATTCATCAAGTCTAGTTTACTCATACCAAATTTCAGATAAAACTTCAACCGGGAAGGCATTCAAATGAATTCTTGAAGATAATTGTGCTTCTAACTGCGCAGTTATTTTCAAGAATTCATTTGAATGCCTTCCCGATTGAAGTTTTAGCTGAAATTTGGTATGAGTAAACTAGACTTAATGAATAGTATGCTTAAAAAATTTCATCAAAAAATTCCACCGGGAACCACCCCAAATGACGACGCCCGGACAGAGCCTCCTAAATAAGGGCTTATTTGACCTTTTTTTGTTAGTACATGAACATATTTGCACCTTTTCCCCATATTTTTTTTTTTTGATAATATTGGACTTTGCACCCATTTTGAAAAAACTTTTACTTTGCACCCCATTTCACTTAAAAATCATTTGACTTTGCATCCCATGTAGAAAATTTTCTTTACAAAGTGATATGTGTTGGGTGCAAAATCAAAGTTTTTTCACATTGAGGTGCAGAGTCCAATATCACCCAAAAAGTGGGGTGCAAACTCAAATTCTCCTAATTCTAAATTGTTTTGGAATGTTAATCATTCATACCCCGTATTGAAGATTAATTCAATTTTAATGATTTAAATTTACATTTTTTATCATCCAATAACGAGCCTTTATTCATATCATAAATTTCAGGATCATTACATCAATTAAGAGAAAAACAAATCTGACACCAACCAGACTCCAACAACTACGACTGTAAACCCTATGATCAGATTTAGAAACGGCCACCTCAGCGACACGAATCGCTAACCATGTAACAGGTTTGACACAGTCATCCATGTTCCCACAGATCCAAACATACTCAATGACATAAAACCAGGCTAAATTCTCAAACAAACTGACAAACCTAACAACAACAACGACAACAGGAAACCAAATGACAAAATAATGAGAATTTATTGGAGAACTTTCACGAACTCTAGTCTCTCGCACAACCCATGGCGGTGGTTCAGGAGGAGGTCGTACCATTAGTACTACTCTAATTGATCTGCCATTGATTTCAGACGTGTTGCCATCCTCCTCCTTCCCTAGAAGTCGGCCATAGCCATCACTGAACCCCTTGCCGTCATATGTAGCCAAACCCCGCCGCCAGATGCTCCGCCATTCAGGCTTTATGTATGAATCTCTTTCGGTACGCTGCAGCGTCACTCCATGCCAACCACTACCCTCCATCAAAGCAAATCTCCCCGAACCTGTATAGCATCGCCTCGCCAAGAAACCCCCACCACCATCGAAAGCCGAAGGCATCGAAGTGGACCAGAAACGCCGAACTCGGAAGTCGGCGAAAAAACAAACCCTAACTAGAGGGTACAAGGCCGCTTATAAATGAATTATTTAAATTTACATTTTTGGAAATTACAATGAAAATTCTACAAAATTGCATTGATGGATAGTCTACCCGGGGGGTACCTTATCCGAGGGGTTATTGCGGGAATAACTAGAGAGAAGTCAGAGCAAAATAGGAGGAGAGAGAGCCGATTTATTAAATGAACTCGAGATGTGGTTTACAAGGAGAATAAGGGCTGCTATTTATAGCAGCAATAAATGCGATGAGAGTACACGTGTCAGTAATCCAGCGGCCGAGGGGTCACATCAATCGGGGTGGCACCGGCAGTGGCATGTTCACCGCATTGAATGTGGTGGGTGGATGTGACGTCGTATTAAATGCGGTGGTTGGCTGTCTCCAAAGGGAATATTCGATGATTGAGTCTGTTTAGCCGAAGGCTCTTCATGCAGCCGAGTGCTTCACGCAGCCGAGGGCTCTGTGTAGCCGAAGGCTTCTCCGTTGTCGAGGGCTCGACAGTGCCGAATGCTCCTGTTTTCTGCCGTTTTCTCCCAGTAGCTTCGTATGCCCAAAAAAGGATATCCTGTGAGTTTTGGAGCCCTCGGTCAAGGAGGCCGAAGGCACCCCAGTGTGTATTTTGGGCTTCTTTGAGACTTGGGCCGCTGCATTTGGGCCTCGAATGTTTCCTCGGGCTCAATGGGCCCGTGTAGGAGAAGTAGGAGTCTATGGGCCGGGGGTTCCTGGGCCATATACTCCATGCATAATTCAAATTAGAATTTAATTAAGAATTGATATCCTAATTAACGGCATAAAATGGTTCTATTTGACCCAAAAATGTCAATGTGCATATAGGTCCCAATTCATTGTATTTCGAGAAAGAAATGTCTTCTTGGAAGATGCATTGGTAGTCTTCCTCTTCATTTGTATTTTGTTTCTTATTAATAAAAATTGGCAAATGTTTCTCGACATTTGCTCCATCGATTGTTGGTTTACCTTCCGGGATTAAAAAAAAGTGGCTTAAATTGTTGAAGATAACTATTTTAACTGGAATGACAGTTTTAAAAAAAAGTAGAATGACAAAAATATTACTTACAAAGTTTTTTATGGATAAAAAATATGACCATTTTATATCTCGATATAAAAGTGACCATTTAAAAATGAATTGCACTTCTCCTCCACAGTCCGTCAATCTCAGACAAATTTCTTCTCTCGGCCTTATCTCTTCGCAACGTCATCCTCCATGCTACGCCAAACCGCTAGCCTCGCCTCGCCACACAGGCTGCCTCACCTCCACCTCGCCGCATATATAGGCCGCCTCATTGCGCCACAGATGGATGATTTATCATATCTGAGACAGTGACCATTGACCAACAAACGACCAGATCTAGGGGTGGCGGCTAGGGTTCAGTGGCAGATGGTCGGGACTGGCTAGGCTGGGCTGTCAAGGATGGGGCTAGGAAGGGGTGGATCAGAGCTGGGGTGATCCAGGGGGGCAAGGCTAAGGAACATGGGAGTGGGACGAGACCATGGCCGGCTCAATAGATTAGGAGACTCGGTGCAAATCATGTAAAATATGTCTTATATTAAATAAATATAATATAATATAAAAAGCAACCTTTAAAAAATAACACAAAAAACTACAATCAAATGTGACATTAAGATATAATCATATTTCGAACCTGAACAATCAAAACCAGTAAAAAAAACTAAAACCGAAAAGAAATGAATTAAAATCATGTACTAAAAAATATAGAGTAGGATATTATTGAAAAAACTATTCCCTCCGTCCCTTAAAACCAAGCTTGTCCAAACTGTACGAGTAATTTGTGCTAATTACTATAACTAGGTCTTACACGGGCCTTATGTAATAAAGAAGTTGCACATTTATAATTAACAATTGCATTTTAATTACATATAAATATTAGTATTTAATATTTGTATTTAAAAACAAAATACTAAAATAGGAATCTTTAATCAAATAAAAAAGAATTTTCTATATTATGTAGACTATATTTAAAATTTTGAGCCTTCTGAATCAAGAGGCCTTGTGTGGTAGCACTACTTGCACCTCCTTATCTACGGCCCTAGACGAGGCGGGGCGGGGTGGATCGGGTCTGGGCTGTTCGGAGCTCGAGTTGGGGACTTGGGAGGGGTAGGGGCAATAGGTGGTGTATCGGTTTCACAATGTAGCCGATTTCACCGTTTCAACTAGAAATTCATCAACTTCAGCAAAATCAACCGATTTAGTCAATTTTAGAGCCCGTTTTGTAGCACTAAATTGGACGAATCAGTTTATTTAGCTGAAATTTATGAAGTTTTGGTTAAAGTGATTGGATTGCTGATTCTGTTGAATTATAAAAATATATATTTGCAATATATTTTATTAATAAAATTAAATAAAAATTATATGAAAAACTAGCTAAAATGGTCATCTACACTATATTCCGTCAATACAACAAAAAAAGTAACGTCAACCATACTTATTTTGATTATTACATAATTCAGCTCGCGAAATCAAAAGTTACGTGCTCGGTGAAAAAACTAACTGATGAGTCGCATACGCCAAAAAATATAGAGCCCGTTTGGTAGCACGAAATTCGGCTGATTTGGCTTATTCTACTGAAATTTTTGAAGTTGTAGCTGAAGTGAAGTGGCTGCATTGGTTGATTCTGCTGATTTAAGGAAAAATTATTTTCATAATATATTTTATTAATAAAATAAAGAAAAAATATATGTAAAAATAGCTAAAATGGTCATCTACAGTAAGTTCAGCCAATACAGTCAGAAAAGTAACTCAAACCTTACCATTTCTACTTATTACACAACTCAGCGCGCGAAAACAAAAGTTACGTGTTTGGTGAAAAAGTTGGCTGATAAGCCGAAAAACAGTGTTGCCAAACGGCCTCATAGTCTTAGAGCCCGTTTCGTAGCACGAAAATCGGTTGTTTTGGTTGATTCTGCTGAAATTTCTGAAGTTCTGGCTGAAGTAGCTTTATTGGCTGATTCTGCTGATTTAAGAAACAATTATTTTTAAAATATATTTTATTAATAAAATATAGAAAAAATTATATGTGAAACTAGCTAAAATGGTCATCTACAGTAACTTCAGCCAAAACAGCTAGAAAAGTAACTACAACCTTACTTTTTCTGCTTATTACACAACTGACAACTCAACGCACGAAAGTAAAAGTTACGTGCTTGGTGAAAAATTTGACTGATAAGCTTGATAAGCCGAAAAATAGTACTGCCAAACGGTCTCTTAATGTTACTAAGGGTTGGTTTGCAAACGCATTAAAAAAAGCACTTCTCAGCTTTTGGCTTTAAAAAGCACTTACTTTACTAAACACTACCACTTTTATTTTTCTCAGCTTTCGTGTCAAAAGTGATTTTACTTTTTCTATTACACAAAAAGCACTTATTTTACCAAACACTACCAACTTTTACTTTTCAAAATCACTTTTTCCTCGGGATAAGGGTCAGTTTGGTCCTCGAAGTTGCAAAATAGGGGTCAAATAAGTCCTTATATAGAAAATTCTGTCTGAACGTGCCATTT